TTGTTGTTGTTGTTGTTGTTGTTGTTGTTGTTGTTGTTGTTGTTGTTTTTGTTGCTGTTGTTGTTGTTGCTGTTGCTGTTTTTGTTGTTGTTGCTGTTGTTGTTGCTGCTGGTGTTGTTGTTGTTGTTGTTGCTGGTGTTGTTGTTTTTGTTGTTGGGTGACGGTCGGTGTGTCAACTTGTGTTGTGCACTCTGTAATCCAGGACGACCTGGACACCCCTACTGGCGAACATTCACACCACATCCAGAGGGTGATCAGCGGAGACGGCGTGGACGGCGTTGTTTTTTTTTTTTTTTGCGTGACGGCGTCCTGGCTTGTGAAGCTTCGTGGATGGCAGGATTGCTTGTGGATCATGAGGTGATTCAAACGGAAGGAACAGATAAGTAACCCTTTTGAGATCCTAGATTGAGGTCACATAAGCCTCTGAAGGCCTAAAATCTTCAGATGTGATGTCCGATGTTGCCAATTGAAGGGTTTGTTTGTCGGGACAGCGCATGGTCGGAAGCGTCAGCTTGTGTCAGTTTCAGATGTTCATACTGTTTCTGAGCACTCTACTCTGGGAAAAGACGGCAAGTCCTGGGATAGGTGCCCCAAAGCATTCCCAGCTCTCAGCCAGGCAATGGAACATGTAATTCGTCAAGATGTAACCCAGACCAGGACGGACTGGCATATATGCCGATCAATTGACCCCCCTGGCACCACTCCAATGTGGGCACAGATGCCAGCCCCATGGATGGTTGGGGCATGACTTTCCCTCAATCTGTCCCGCAGACCCGGGTCCGCCTCGAGTGGGATCAAGGCGAGGACATCGCTGAGATCACCCAGACTTGGATCCTTTTGAGGGGATTGGCATTGGATGACTTGGAGACAAAGACTATCGGACTGGCATCAATTGACCATCGGACTGGGATGGTTGATTACAGGAACCCAATTGATCGGCATTTGTTCCAGTGAGGATGCCCAGCTAGGGATCCGTTGTCGTACCGAACCAAACCGGTTTCGCTGCGAAACCGGATCCGACGTGACTTGGCACTGACTGGCTGCGCGGGTGCGGTGCGTTCTCCGAACCGTCCTCACCGTGTCTGAGGGTTCGGTACGAAAACGGATCCGGGACCGGAGTGGATCTGGGATAGAAACATCGTCAACGGATCCCCCCGAGCAAGCCGCGTCGGATCCCCCGAGCGTCCTGCCAGATACTACTCCTGGGACCAGTGGAGCGTGCGCATCTTTGCCAGAGATGCGATGAAGGTGCCCGAGCTAGCATGACTGGCATGAGTGTTGGGTGAATGTAGTGAAATATCCGATGAAATGAAATAACTTTAATTAAATGAACGTTTACTAAATTGTGGTATCCCATTTTGCACGTCATATGGGCCATATGCAATATCTCAATATCCAAGTTGCGTCTAAGAACCGGGTCGCTACTTCTAGATCTCCTGGCTGGAAGACCTATATTGGAAGCGCATGTTTTCACAAGTTCAGATCACAGTCACTTTTCGCAGCATAAGGCCTGGAGCTGACTTGGCCTCCAAAAGAATCTCCTCACAAGGTGGATGTGGATCCCAGGTCCGGAGAAGGCATTAAGTTTAATGACCAAGGCCTCGTTGAATGAACATTTGGGACGGTCTCTTCGGCCCAGGCACTCTTCCCCGATGAGCGCGCAGATATCAGCAGGTGTGTGAAGCACTTGGGGTAGGGGAGCTGATTTGAGACCGTGACATGTCCAGGGTCCCAGAGAGGGACAGGAGTCCGAGAGCGTTCGCATTAGCCAGATGCGACGAGACGAGAACTGCCATAATATGGCAAATCAGTTGGGCTGGTTTGAGGGGTCAATGTAGGCCATACAGTGCATGGGGTATAGATGGAAAGGTTCGTATGAAATCCCCTAAACCTCCTCGTGTTCGGTGCTTAGGGTTGGTTTCGGGGGGGGCTCAGTCTTTAGCGTCTGATGGGACAGGAGCCATACAGGGTCAGAGCATGTTGAATGGATTGACTCCATTAGGTCATGCGATCAAAGACCAAAAGTGACACTCGACGACACGTCATTGATGCAGGGCCACCTTGTTGACACTCTGATGTCAACAGACCGGCTGCCAGGGCATACGGTAAAGATTCATTCATACCATTACTTGGACATACTTAGGGTTTGTCCGAGTACCTGTAACAGTCAGTAAACAAATTACCATAAATTACCACTACTTTTGGACAAGGCCTCTACTAAACCATCCTCATCCACTGTCAGTAGCTAGACTCGGATAGACCCAAGACAGGATCTCTTCGATCTTCAGGCCCACAGAAAGGCAGACCGGTCAGTCAGGTCTTGCACCGTCGCTCTTGGCCCGACGGGCTGACTGGCTGGTCCCCCACCACCGTTGCTCTTGGCCCCAGGGGCTCCCCGAATCCGTCAGGTACGCGGATCCAGGGGAGTATGGGGTCGAGAGCAACACCTGTCACTCGGACGGAGAACCGAGACGGACGGGTCACCGGTGAGACCGGGGGATGGGGGATGGCTTCGTTTTGGGACCGGTGTCAGAAAAGAACACATGTACGTTCGGCGGTTTAGACCAAGTTGAACACATGGACACGAGGATTGTGATGGTGCAGGAAAAGGATCAGGATCATTCTTCCTGTTGCACTGAATGAGGCATCGGCTGTAAGAACTGTTTTAGGGTCGGTCTACGGCTGCAACGGCACAGATTGCCTGTGCCACCGTCATCTCTTCCGCGAATATGACCATGAACTTCCACTGAATTTGGATCCACGTCGTTTCTCCAACTTGGGCAGCTAGGGGCAATGGTTTACCGATTCGCTCAATCCGAGCTGGTCTATTATATTTCATATGATTCTATTGCATATTTTCAGGGAACTGTCATGATTCTATAGGTCTGAGTTCTGTCATTCTATACTGGCAGCTGTCCACTTATGTCCACTTGTTTTCTTCTACAATTTGGCTGACACAGCCGCACCCCTCTAATTCCAATCCCTATCCTATATACTATACATATATACTGATTCTACTGCTCTGTTTTGCTGGTCCTTCCGGTTCGCTCGGTCCGCCTCGCTCGCTTCGCCTCTTTTGGTTGCACTCTCTACTAAGCCCTCTGGCTGACCGTCAGGTCGATTCGTTTGCTGCGGCCTTTATGTGGTCACTGTTCTGGACGACTTGTGCCTCGCCTGGAAACGAGCAGGGGGTCCAGCGGGTCGACGTCCGACGTCCGACGTCCGACGTCGATCTGTGTCGAAAAGGGCTCCTGGGCGTTTTCTCCGTTTCGGTTCGCTGGGACAGGGGTGGGTGCCACGGGGGTCGAATAGCACCTGAGGAGATGGGCCAGGAGCCGTGGGGTTTTTGTTTGTTTTCGTGTCATCAGTGTGATGATGTGTCATGTTTGACTGCAAAAACATTGCTGGTGTAGCGCCAGGCCAGGATCGCACAGAAATCTGGATTGGTCTCCATCTCGTGTGTATTTGCACGTGGGCACCACCTGCGCAACGCGTCAGGATCGGGAGCTACAATTTATTTAAGCTGATGAACAGCATCGAGAGCAAGGAGAGCAGACCGGGTGAAGCTTCACCGGGTGGAGGAAGGGGACCGGACCAATCCGAACAGCAGCATTTGCAAGGTGTCCAGGTTCACCAGACGACCTAAGGAGGTCAACAGGGTGAGTGAAACGGGTGTTTCACGCGGTTCTGTCCACCCACCAGCGTCCAAGTTTCCGCCCAAGGAGAAGCGCCAGATTTCAGACATGACCCTTGTTTTGAGAGGAAGGATTGACATGAAAAGACCATAAAAGACCCATCACTTCGGGGTGCTTGGTGATGAACAATAGATAAGACAATAAAGGTTAGTCACTCAGGTTCTTGGAATGTATTGACCACTCAGTGGCCGGTGTTCTCATCCAAGATTACGTCACAAGCTTGACGTGGTGGTTGGGAACCACCACGTGAACTTGAAAAACCCACCAACGTCCTTGCCGGATGGCCGAGCGGAATGAAGGGAGCGGAATTGCAGCGGAATTATTCAAAACCAACATCTACAGCACTCAAGAGATCTAAAGCATCATAAACTTGAAATCTTTGCAATCTCACTTGACTTGTACATCTTGCGCCCAGACACTTGGCCCAGTCTGCTGCACACAGACTGTCTCCACAGGTTTTGGTGTTTGGCAAGCCACCCAGCCCAGCCTCGTCCACTCTTGCAATGCCGGTCAGCAAGTTTCACCTGTAAAGCAAGATGTGGTATCGCCCAGAATCTGTTTGCCCTTATACATACTAGAGCGACCTTCGGGTCACCAACGCCCCAAGTACGTATGGGTCTTGTCCTCTCAATGCAGGGGTCATGTCGTGTTTGGGTTCATTGGCTATTAAGTACATGACAAAGTTCGGCACCCCAACTTGGAACTGTTGGAACTATTTGACTTGCCCTAGGGATCCAGTCGTACCGAACCTCAGGTTCGGTACGACTGGACCCTCCTGGCACCTGCATAACAGTGCCTCCGTCCTCGCGAAAAACCTCAGGTTCGGTACGACTGGATCCATAGGGTTGCATGGCACTGTTGGCTGCAACACATGTCCTTGCGGAGGCCCCGCTCACCCCGGCGCTCAAGTGCCAGGACGATCTTTGGATCGACTGGGAGGCGCCTGGAAAGGCCTGGGCCAGTAAGGACCACTGCTCGCATGCGCATGGATTCTGTAGGGGGGGGGCGCGCGAAACCGCCGCCAGCGGCGAATTCAGATCGATGAGGCACCGGGGAAACTCCCGTGGTGCGCGATGTTTGGGACCGGACAAGAAACAGAGAGTGGTGGTCACTGGTGGTCTTGAGCTTTCGAGAAGCCAAGCCATGTTCTTTCGTAACAGGATGGTTTTTCAGTGATATGTGATATCTCCATCAATATCCCAGTGAAGGTCCTTTGGGTTACAGGTGGTAATGCCAATTGTCCTTTCTGTCCTTTAGTTTTCTGGGGTGAAAAGTTGTCCTCAGAGGCAATCGGTTGATGATAATGTGAGTCTTTAATTATTTGGTGGCCACGCACAACAACGACATTGGCAAGAAGAAGTCCATTGCATTTTATAGAGTTCAGTTTGACCATCAAGCAGCACATAGCAGCACATATATTTTCCATATAGAGTTTGAGTGACCCCTATAAAGACTAAGACCACTAGGAGTAATAGCCATCCATAAGCTGCGGATCTATCTGGATCAGCACAGGGGTGTGGGTTGTAGCCACCCTCCAAACAATCCTGGCGCAGAGATGCGCAGAGTATTTCAACCCAGGACTCCGGCAGGTGAGAATCCACCCATGTCTCCATCTTTCTTTCCCCCCGACGTGTTGTTCACGTCCGCTTTCTGTTTCCCGTCCAGGAGCATGAAAAGACGGTGATGAACCACGAAGAGATGGACTTTGTGACGTTGAAGATCGCTGGCGCGCGAGACGCGTCTCGCGAGACGGAGAGGTTTTTTGGACGAAGCCGGGACACGAACCTGGACATGAGTTGACATGAGAATGTAATAAGAATGTAACGAGATGGTGCATAGAACCCAGACATGATTCATGTTTTGAGAAAAACATCACAAATATTTCTGGTGGTTGTTGATCCAGAGGTCACTCCGGTTATAGGTATATATATATAATATAGAGCTTTGCATGTGCATGACGGAGTAGTTTTTGCCGAAGACAAATGAGGGACGATGGCCGTACACGAGGTCTCCTCTCAGCATGTCTCCTGTGTCATGCCTCACATGCTGGAATCTTCTATTTTGTCGTTGTCGTTGAGAAAAAAAAACAAAAACAGTACCCGTTGAAGGGACTTGCCTGTGGAAAAAAGTGATGTCCAAGTGCGAAGTCGCTCAGGTGTTTGAAGTTTCGTTTTTGGTGCCAACTCAGCCCAGTTCGCTGGAATTTGGCCAGCCGCGTAGACTCCGCGTGTTCTTTCTTTCCCCTGGCGCGGCATGTGGTGCACCAGTTCGTGGAACTGGACGAACTGGTGGCTTGCCACCGCTTCTTTCGTGTCGCGTATACCTTGGGGGCAAAGCGTCTTCGACCCCACCAGTGACCCCATCGGTCGAGACGCCGCTGGACGGCGTTTCAACGCGGACGGACGTCTGCGCGCGGCAGGGATGCCGTTCCACTGGAAGGTCCTCAACTATCTCTTGATTCTGCGCCCTGCTGAGAGGATGCCGAGCACCGGAGGATTCTGTGTGTGTGTTTTTTCATGGCACGATGGACTGTGGATTGTGATGGTTCTGTAGGTTGGCGCTGCCCTTTGTTATAGGTGCTGTTTGATTTTTGTTGCATATACATCATTACAACCCTTCTTTTGTTGTTTGGTGTATGGAAATCGGGTGGTGTCCATTGGACGTGTTCGGTCGTTTTCGCTTTTCCTCACAGAAGGATGAGCAGTTCATCCTTGAGACAAAAAGCAACATCCGGTGGACCCCTGCTCTCACAAAGGCAATGGATCTCTTTGTTTCTGTTGAGCTGTGAGACTTTTTATCGAGCGATCGGTCGATAGCCTCCTGAGATCGGTGGCCATGGCAGCTGCCCTCAGGGGTTTGTCTTTTTTTTGACGCAGATCCCACCTGTACCACTGACCTCCAAAAACGTCATACACTGGGGAGGGTAAGTGGGTAGTTTCTATCACCCGCAGCTCAACGCGCCTCGTCTATAGAGCTTTTGCTCGTGAAACCGGCGAGTCGTTTCTATCCAGTTTTTGAGGTGATCAGAATATCCATCAATTCTTCTATCCATCTCGGCACACTCATGTTCTCACAGCTTCACCAGCTTCACCAACTTGCTACCTTCCACGCCCGTCCACGTGGTGTCTGGCGTCTCACAACGTGGTCTTGTGACCCGAAAGCACTGGCCAGAGTGCTCTGCGGCCCACGCTGGTCTCGAGACCACGCTTCAAACTCCGACACGGTGCCAACAGAGTTTGAAGAACCTGATGTGTCGACGATCTCAGTTGGGTACCCCAGGTCGATGACCGGGTCGCCTAAGACGACCTTTGTCTCTTATCCCAGACACTCCATGTATGCTATATATATCTATATCTATATACATTGACCCCTCAAACCACCCCAATGTATGTATACATATGGCAGTCCCCAGTTAGGTCGCGTCTGGGTATCTACATCACCGATGTCCGATCCGCCTCTCAGGTTGCCGAAGATCTGCCTCTGGAAGGTCACCGCGGAGGCGGGCGTCGTCTTCCTCATGGACACTCAAGGCCCACGAGCGGAGCGGAGCGGAGCGTTGTCGACAGAGTGCAGGGTCCAGGGTCCTTCTTGTTTGGGATGGTCGAGCGGAGGTTTTTGTCCGTGTACTTTCAGAGAGGTCTTTGCAGTTTGGTGGAGCGAAAAGGATAAAAAGGAGATATCCTCAGGCCGGTATCTGAAAGAGAATTCTTACGTCATGACCAACGCCCACTTGGTTTTTTGGGGGGTGTAATCCGTCATCGTCCTCCTCCTTTGGAGCATATCGGTAGATTCCTTTCACCCAATGCCCCCATCAAGGAGCTTAGGAGCGGAGACGGAGGGGAGGGATGGCTGGGAGGGTGTCAACATGGAGCGGAAATGAAGGTCCTAAATGGGTGTGTAGCTCAAATAGGGAGACTGGCTGGTTGGGGATCAGTGTAGTCTAGTCTGTTCACACGCTGACAAGTCCCAAGAGTGAGAATGTCTTGTCCACGACTCTCTGATCGTTGAACATGAAGATGCACAAATTAGAAGACTACAGCAAAAGATCGAAAGTGAAAGACCACGAGTCAGCAAAGCGACCCGCACCACTCGCCAGCACCCGGGCAAAAGCAAGGAGCTCGTTCCGAGCAAAGAACGGAAGGACGCCCACCAGAGCACCCTGTGGGAGGACCTTTCCTATACATTTGGTCGCGCGAGCAGTGGGTTTACCAGGGAGCTCAGGACAAGAGTTGTATAAAGCCACAATAGCCTTCCGCAGCTGCAATACAAGGTCTTGAAAGTGTGCAGGTCGTTTGTGCAGTCGAAAGCCCCGGATGTGAAAAAGAAAGCAAAGTTCCTGATATGTGCACATATATTGCAGGCCCGAAATCCAATGCAAAGACTTCAAAAATGTACGGAGTTGGTCCCAATCAGCATGACTGAGATCCGCCTTAGAAGGTGGTGGACCATCAGGAATGTTGAAGACTAGGTCAAAAGCTTGTTCCGAACAACTCCAGGCAAGGCCGGGGTAACACTTCTGAAAATCTTGAAGGCACAACGGCTTGGGAGGTGAAGACGCATCAACAAACTCCTCAGCACATTCAAAGCCAATAAACTTGTTCAGTTGCGTCAGCACTTCCTGTTGGTGTAACACCGCAGCTTGAAACATCGTCTTGTCCCGTGGTGCAATAGCGCAACGTTGTAACGCAAAGTATTTAGCCACTTTGTCAGCCACGCGGTTCAGCTCAACATGTTTCCTTGTGGTACCAGCTTGTTGAAGTTTAGCAGCCGGAATAAGTGAAATCGGGAGGGCATCATCTATATGAGCAGGAATCCAGACCATGGTGAGCACTGGGCCATCACTGGACAGACTACGCAAATTGATAACAGCAAGTAGTGTCTGCCACCACTCAAGGTGTAAACAATTGCGAGGAATACACCGCCTCTGAACAAGAAGGTTGACCATGGCCACCACCTCTTGACAGTCACTATAGACACAAAGGCAACAATCAGCTTTGAGGGTCGCCATAACCACAGCCCATAGTTCCGCCGAAAAGGACGAAAGCGCCAAGTGTGAGACTGTGCCAGCATCAAAAATGGATCCATCCTCATTGATAATAGAATAACCCGCAGCAGTGAGTGGGAAACATTCACTCCAGAAAACCGAGCCATCTGTCCAAACTGAGAGGTAATGATCGGGCCTGTCAAAAGTTGCACAAGGACTGTCTGCTGCTCTGTCGACATGAAGCCGGTGACGGATTATAGGCCAAGGATGCTCAACTATACCCAGTTGCGAAAAGTTTTGACCAAATTCATGCTGAGGGCCAAACTGAAAATGTTCCTGCGCAGCCGGGCATTGTAAAATATGGACCAAGGATTCTTTCGCGGTCTTGCAGAAGCGGCACGAAGGTGAGTCAGCAAATTTGGCGGCAAATCGCCTGTCATTGGTGATGGTGCACCCTACCAGCTGGGCCTCAAAATGCGTGCGGAGTGGAGGTTCGGATCCACTAATAGCACAGTGCTTGGTAGCGAACAGCTTGGAATGGAAGACATCAACAAACCCCTGCGGTTTAAATCCTTTCTGTTCAGGTTGGCCGTGTGGTCATAGTGAATCTGCACCGCAAACTGTTTGAGGACAGGTGCCACGTCACGGGCCGACAGTTCCCGAAGGTTGAGCTTAGGTCCATTTCCAACAGCAACATGGAGATCTGTGTCAAAGGAGATGCCAAAAGCAGCAAAGGCATCACGTATTCCTGTAAATAAGGAATATTTGTTGACTGTGGAGAGAGGCGCAGCTCGACAAAGACGATCAAAATTCTCTGGGTCAATGTGCAGAAACCGCATGAAATCAAGAACAGCACTGTAAGCCCGAGCAATGTACGGGTCAACTCTGTGCGGTTGCGCCAAAAACCCCAGAACGAGGTGTTTGGCACGCCAGTGTGGTCTGTTGCCCCAAAGGGCTTGAGTGATTTCAGCTTGAATCTTATCAAGGACAGCTTTGGGGATCTTAGTGATGTGGGCAGCATAACTGCATTGAGGGATCACCTTGGCTCCAAGAAGCTGACTTTTGATTTTCCTCGGTAGAGGAAGTGCACCAATGTTACGAATGTCCAGGAGAATCTTGTGGGTCTTTTCCTCAGGGAACTCAAAAGAGTTGCGCTGGGAGGTGTAAAGTTTGGTTCCCAATACATCAATGACCTCATGAATCAAGAAATCGGAGAATGTCCGTTTCATGGTTTTGCGACCATCACAGTTCGATGCCCAAGCAACAGATTTATCAGGGTTAAGCTTCTGTCCGACAAGGGTGTCCCAAAGCTGGGTGACTTCAAGAGCGATTTTGAGATTGGCAATATGTTGGATGGAAGCCCACAGGTAAATATCGTCAATGTGGATCCTACACGTGATGTGGGGAATATCGTGCAGGAATGCAAGCCATGAGCGCATGTAGGCATTGATGGCAATTAACGAAAACGAGCAACCCTGGGCAACCCCATTCGGTGAGGTTGTGGCAGTATGCATCGTCCAACCCCTATAGGACAAATGTTTACGCAAGCCACTGTATTGCCGCACAAAAATACTCACAACATGTTTGGCACAGCCTAGGGCGAGGAGAATGATGGCAACAAAGGAGGGGATGATGCGATCAAAACATTTGCTTTTGTCGAGTTTCAGGCCGACAAGCGTATCATGGGTCGCAGCAGCTTCATCAAGCTCAAGCCGCAAAGTAGTCGGGATGGCAGCCATGTGGCGACCAGCAATACCCCCAACGATGGAGGGAGGCATAATGGATGCCTGCCAATCCTTGGCTTGACGAAAACGTGTGCCTGTATAGGCAAGCAGGAGTGGGGGCAAAATCGTGATGAGCCTTTTATTTAATGGGGACGATGGGCCAGGCTTGTTGAGAATTACAATCTTAGCCGTGGTCAAGGCTTTAGGAAGGTGAAAATCAACATTGGCCTCAATCCTTCGAAAAAAGGCAGCAACAATCTCACAAACCTCGAGTGGCATCGACTGAAGCTCAGTAGTACGCCATCCATCTAGACCCGGGGCTGCATTAGCATGGCGGGCTTTGAGCGTCTCGAAAATGTCAGCACCAGTAATGGGTGGCGGATGCCACGGCTGGTTCTCCCTAGACAGGTAGGGCCAGAGAACCTTCAGGAACTCAACCGGGTCATTATGCTCAACATTGGCAGCAAAGATCTGATCCCATTGCTCATTGAGGGCAGTCAGGGCCGCCACAGGTTGATAGATGATGTGCCCTTGCTGAGAGGTAACCAAGTTATTGGGTTGGTCCTGGGATTTATTCTTGAGGTGGTGAAAGATGTAAGCTCGATTCGTGGATGCTGATTCACGGATCTTCTCCTTCCACAGTAGAATCCTTGCTTGCTTAAGCTTATGCTCTTGTTGGTCAATGCGGATCTGGAGCCACAAATGACACTCATGCAATTGAGTCAACGAAAGCGTGCTCTGCGAGCGAAAATGGAATGGGGCCTTGAGTCGCCGGAGGAGGCGATTAAGTTTACGAAGAGCATTGTGAAGTATCTCACACTCTTGATCACTTAAAGCCGATTTCGCAACTTTAGCTTGAATGTCAAAGACTTTAGCTCGAGCATTATGCAACCACGAGAGATGAAGGCTAACTGCAGTCCCGGACACATTCTGGCCTGGGCAGTATTTCTTGAAAAGAAAAACAGGTGGAGCAGCTCTTTGTTGCCGACCCTTTTACCAGGTGGCCCCCAAATCAAGCAGCGAAGAAAGGGCATGTTGATTGATATCAAACCAAAGCTCTTCAGGGGAGTGATTGCCAAAGCGAGAATTAAGGGTGTCATCCCAAAAATCATTCTGGGCCGAGTAGTTCTTGGGAACAGATGGTTTCTGGACATGCGACGTATCGAGAGCAGCAAACTTGACATGGACAGGTCCAACTTGGAAGATTGTCTCCCAATTGAAAACAGCACGAACAGGCCTGTGTTGCTTATGGGTCCAATCGACAGTTTCAATGGACTGGAGACAATTGAACGCCACATGATTCATAAGAATACCATCAATTGAAGAGCAGTGCTCACCAAAAGCAGTGAAAGTGCAATCCCTACTATAGGTGATCGGCCGATCAACAGTACCATCCTCCAAAAAATTTGTAAGGGGGTCAAACCACTCAGCAAAATGCACGGCGGCAGCGACCGAGGGGTACTGGAGCGGAGGCAGTTGGAAGTCCCCGACCAACAGGACCGGGATGTCCCCGAACTGACTAGCAATTTGGAGGGCATCCCGCAGGAGCTCATCGTTGTACTTGAGGATGTCATGGGAAGCAGAGGCCCCTGATTTACCATAGAAGTTGAACACCAAGATCTTAAGCGAAGGACGTACCTGACACCAAACCGCCTGAATGCGTTTGGATTTGAAGACCCCTTCGTAGAGGCCAGTGAGATCTTGGGAGTGCTGAAAGGGGGTGGACCATTGACTGGGAGCGATGGACGCAACTCCACCATGTGATGTAGCTCCACTACCGTCAGACCGGAACAGACCAGGGAGGAGGTCACCAAGGACAAGG